TGTGTTGTTACCAAGTATATAGTATATGGTATATTATACTATACTATAATGGTATTACATTATAATTTGATTTCTGTTACTGTTATGGTTGAATGCCATTTCGGCTGTCTTTAAAGGTTAATGTTAGTAATTAAATGGTTATCCTGTATCTTGATTTTCATTGTCTCAATTTATTATGAGTGAAAATTTAAGTATGTTTCTTTGGCAGGCTAGGAAGTAGATGCAAGCTTTACTGAAGCAAAGAAAATGGTTAAAAATCCCTATAAAATGCTGCTGTTTACTATTACTAAGTTTACTTTGAGAGGGACACTGTTTCTTCCCCCCAGAGGGGAAGCGTGATTTCGTCCTGTGTGGGAGGAGGGGAGGTGTGGAGGAATAGTGGGAGGAACTTGTAGAGTTGCCCACCGATTTCATTGAGAACTCAGAAGGCAGCAGGTTAACATCTATGAACTGAGTCCAGCTGAAGACTTTCTCTCACCCATCTCTCGCTGTTGGATTTACCTTCATTTTTTTTTCTTGGATATTTATTTCAAGACAACACCTGGATTCATCAACTGCGGATCTATGCGAACCCAACGCGGGAGTCAACAACATTTGTGAAGTTGAAGAGGAGGAATGTATCGTTTCTTTGTGAAATTAACATTTCTGATTCCAGCAATCGCCATCGCACAAGGTAAGCAATTTTTATTTATTTTTGAGCGTGCATTGCCACAGAGCATGACCGAGACTTATCTGTGATATTCGCAACAATTAAAGTGGGCTTTAGAGAAGTTTGTGAATTATAAAGAGGAAGAGAAAGGCACTCGATTAAACTGATTTGAGTGATTTAAAGGTCATGCTGTATAATTATGATCGGAGTATTAAAAAGTTGCATAAATAAATCTCGATGAAAGTTTTCCAGCTTCTCTTGGCCGTGGGAAAGTGAAGAAACCAGAAGCTGCAGTGCGCTTGGCTGGCTCCCCCGGTGTGCGCTAAATGAAGATGTCGCGAGCTATTTTGTCCGCTCATTGCAGAGCAGTCACACTAAAATCAGCTGAGCTTATGCGGTAGATGCAGCAATGTTGGAACCACGATCAAAAGCTAACTACCTGAACACAACATTTAATTTGTTTTCTTACTCTAAATTTATATCAAGAATTTTATCAACAAATATTTTTAATGCTTTATAAAAAAAAACGATATTCAGAGTTTTAGACAATAAACGATCTATTTGTAAGCTGTTATTGGACCACTTTCATGTAAAATATGAGATAATGGAAGTTGGTGCGGAGGGACGCGGATTTTTTTTTTTTGGGGGGGGGGGGTTGCAAGCACCTTTTGTCTACAAGTGTGGGAGAGTGTTGTGAGTCCCGGGTTGGCGGGGGGTGGAGGAGGTGCTGTAATTCCCGTCTGCCCGGTAAACAATACCCGAGGAGAGTGTTTTATGGCTCGTGCTGCACCACGATTTCTTTTGTTCCGCATCTGAGCCCCGCAGCTGCTGCGCTCTCCCCGCAAAAGCGTGCGCCCCCCCCCACAGCCCCCTCCCCTGAATTAAAAAAAAAGAAAAAAAAAGCCACGCACCACGCGCTTCTAGCCTCACCAGTGTCCACGAACGGGCTTCCCAATATCCCCTGCGGACACTTGTGGAACAAATCAATTTAAAAATCACGACGCGTGTGCATTAAAATTTGCTAATAAAGCTGTGTTAAAAAAAACCAACCCAAAAAACAAAACTTAACTGCTGAATAATTCCCTCATGATTTCACCTGCAGCTTAATCCCGATTAATCCCAGTGTGCTCATTTCCGTCCTGTGTGCACAGAGAAACTGTGCTGGGTAAAACATGTTTTGATCTATATATTTGTTTATGCATTCAACAGGTCTTAAATGCTCTCTACCTACCGAGGCATGCCTTAATGGAGGAAGATGTGAAGCCACCCCAAACGGAAATGGTGAATGCAAGTAAGTAACAGGGAGTCTGAGAGCAACGCGTGAAGATGCTGCTGCAGGCAGTGAGGAAACACCATAGCTATCTTGTTTGTGTGTTACTTGGAGCTTGTATGGTTGTAGTAGTGCACTGTGGGGCAATCGTGGTACTTCTTTACGGGTGGGGAAGAAAAAGAGGCCACATATTCCCCCTTTTAATTCCAGCCTTTGAGCGGTCTCTCTGCTCAGCAACCAGAGGCCCTTAAGTTTCCTCTGGGCTGCTGTGCTCCTGTACCCCTCCGAGAGCTGCATTGCTCTCTGCACACATTCCCTGAAAAGAAAAGACTTTAAAGGAGTGCAGAAATGAAAAGAGAGAGCAGCCTCAGAGTGCTGGGGAGATGAGAAAGGGGAGGCCGGACACACACACACAAAGCCCCCCCCCATCAGCCCCTTAATGAATGCAAGTCCCCCTTCGCCTGGCAAAGTGAGAGGACGCGTCCAGTCCTAAATCTTGTTTTTCTGCTCTTTCATGGGCGACAGCTGGGGCTCGCCCGCCGCCCGTCACCCATTGTCCTGCAGTCAGAATAATGCTGTGTGACTAATCTGAGTGGGGCTTCCCATCATGCCACAGCCACCCCAAACACCACAACACACACCAAACCCCTGCCATACCCCCCCACCCTCCAAAAGGCTTCTCTCCGTCGTTTTGAATGTCTCTCTCCCCCAACCACCCCCACCTCACCCGCTTGTGATCTCCATTTGAAAGCCAGATGGCTGGGAAATGTAATTGGATTGGATGTCAAGAGAGTGAGATTAATTGGAATAAAGTGCAGAAATTTGAGGGCGAACAAGTGGGAATAGACAGGGAGGCAGATTGTGGGGCTGTTTGTTTAGAGTGTGGATTGATGTTTTTGGGTGAGACGTTTTAATATGCAAACATGTTCCCTTGAGCTGGCCTTCCTGTAAATTTTAATATAATGTAATGAGACACCAACTTTTATCTGGTCTGAGTTGGAAACTGATCCTTTCTGAAAGCATCTTTATGTGTGATTTTTACTTGTGGCGTCACTTTATTTTGTCTCCCCTCTTGAAAGAAACTCAGAGGTGGCCTGGTTTGCCCTGGGGCATGTGATCATGGCAGGCTCTCCTCTGGTCTGCGGGGACAAGGGAGAGCTATTGAAGGACCTACGCGAGTAGCCCAGGGGCACCAATTCACAATATGTGAATCTGCACGCTCTGCACACACACACAGTCACACACAGCGCCCTGCACGTGTGCGCACGCTCTCACACAGAAACTCTCTCCACCCTCCGATCCCACAAAGCTGTTATTGTGTTCTTCATCTCTGCTCAGTCCAATTAAAAACAGACAGGATAAGAGCATCACTTCACCCACCCGCGCTCTCTCTTCCTCCTGGCTTCCCGCTCATTCATCATTCATCCTTGCCAAGCTAAGCAGCTATCAGTCATGGGGACACTGTGAGATTCGGGGGGTCAGGGTAAAGTGTCTGTAGCAGAGAATCTTCCAGCAGTGGTCCATATTTTTGTGCCATGCTGTGTCACATCAAATTCGCTTTTAAATTTTGTGCTGCTGACACATAGGTGGAAAGTCGGCTGAGTTAGAAAGGAGGGGATGCCTGCACTGTGACAAGAAAAAGGAAAGCAGTGGTGGAGTTCAGCTGAGGGCATCTAAATTGTGCGGTCGCCCTCACGTGATGTTTAGGGGAAGGTCAGCAGGTTATAACACATCAAACCCACAGAACCAACTATCGGAGATACCACTGAATCATGTTCTGCTTTTGTGGTTATGCAGCATATGGTGGCACAGTTTTGAGTGGTTAAGACAGATCTGAATCCTCTTTTCGGCACAGTTCTCACGAGTGCGAGAGTCGAATCACATGCCGACAATGATGAACAACATTACACCCTCCCCCAATATTACTTCATACCTTTAGGAAATCAGGAAAAGGATTAGATTTGTCTTCTTTATTCATGTTGCATTCACTAGAATCTGCTTTTTCTCAAGCTGATATTCAAATGAAGGATTTTAAGGTGATTTTTAACCCCAACCAACTGTAAATTCAACAAGAGTCAAAACCTCTAAAGATGGTAGCTTTAATTCATTCTACAATCACAGCAGTCAGCTTGGTAGAGTAAGGTTAGATTTAGCTAAAAGAAATATAACAGCTAGCTGTGTGGTTGACTGATTGGCTGAGATAGTAAGGTTCCCATGCTGGTTTTAAAAATGGAACAAGAATATGGTCTTAATGCGTGTGACAGCATACACCTCCAGAGAAAATCGAAACACTCAAAAGGAACAAAGGGGGAACCAACTTTAAAACCTTTAATGCTGTTTCCTCGATTGAAGACAAATCTCTTTACATTAAAAGACTGAGTAACTTTAGGGGAAGTCGGAGAGTTTATGTAAATTGTGGCGATATTGGACACGGAAATAGCAACGAGTGTCTGCAGTGGGGAAGTACTCGGTTGCGATTCTGTGAATTAAGAGGTTATCTCAAGGTCTGGGGCTTCCTGTTTCCCACGAAGCTGCAGCAGTCTTTTTTAATGTAGGCAACTTTAAAGTTTGAGGGCACAAGCATAGCGTGAGTCAAATTTAGTTTCCATTTGTCAGACTGTAATGAGGGCAAAGTCAGGTTAAAAGGTTGTTGCCCTCGGTCTGGCCTTTACGTGACAGACTCACTGTTATTGCTGCTTTGCTGAAATGGGTGCCGTTTTGGTCAGAGATAAGTGTTAAGAATAAACATCTCAACTGTCGCCCCACATGTCTCGAATACTGCACTGACAGAAATAGACCAGACGAGAGAATTTCACTTAATGTGATGTAGCTAGTAAAGGGAGCTGTATGGTGTTGTTTATTGACGATAATGCGTCTCAGTCACAACCTGAAATGATTTTTACACTCTTCCTCTAAGAATGCTGCTCTTCTTTTGTCCTCCTATAGGATTACCAGGAAGGTCTCTATAAAAGCTCAGCTCCCTGAATCAGGGACATACAAGTGCTTAGTGGGTTTAAGGTGCCTGCTGGTGTTGCCTTTTTATTTGGGGTTTAAGCTCTAATGCTGCCACTCCCCTGGTTGGGCCCATTCCCCAGATGCCAGGGGCCACATGATATAGCACTGAAAGAGGCTGGTGGGAAAAAAAAAAGGTCCCATCTTCTTACAGTTGATGTGCAATTTTCAGATATAGAACTCCCAGAAGAGAACGCATTGCATATATAATGTAAAGGCATATTTTTTCACACCTACTTTGGAGACTGATCTGGAAACCTTCAAAGCAGGAGATGCTGATGCAATGCTGTCAGAGCAGAGCGATAAGGGCCTGTGTCACTCTAGTGGGTGTTGAAAGTTCATATCTAGCAGTAGAGGCTATCAAATGAAATAACTCTTCTAGCCAGAAAATGTGTGCATGTCTTGATATTTCTAGTAATTGCATGTGCATGGGGGGGAATGTTATCTGGTTGGAATGTGAGTCACCCTTTATAGCGACCAAACAAGTAATGATGAATGAATATGTTGTGGTAACACACTTGTGCCCACCTGACTTGATGGTAATCTGAAGTAATAGACTCCAGACTACTCCATCGGCTTTCACTGATAATCATCACAAGAGGTGGAATGGCAGGCAGGTGTTTTTCCTGGTTTTGATCGTGAGCTGGGATGTTTTTACAGCGTTGTTAAGTGAGTGCAGCAGAACAAGGTGCATGACACACACACACACACACAGGGAATCAGAGTTATGCCGTCGGCTGTTTACCGTACTTTTATGAATGAAAGTGAGCTCACTGTCAGGCTGTGCTGTTATTCAGACAGGTGCCAAATTCTTCTCATTCTGACCGCCTCTACCAACTTCACTGATTTTAGAGAGTGGAACAGAAACCGCTTTATTATTGTCCAATGATTCTTCTAAGATCCCCTTTTTTGAAGATATATGTTACTTGTAGAGAGTGATTTTTTTGTTTAGGAAGGTGGTTTGATTTCCAAGCAATAATGCGCATTTTACCGAACCAAATGAGCATGATTCAATGTTTAATAAACACTTTATGCAGTTTAGCCCTTTTTAGGTTCAACAGCCTGAGAGTGCACAATCTTTGTATGACTATTATACACCCTTTTAATATAACAGTGTTTCTCTCTCATGGATTTTATTGCTGTAGTGGGATTTGAGAGGCTTCCAAATCCAGTGCATTTCTCATTTTCTCTAGCTGGGCTACATTGCTCCGCTCTTGGTCTTACTAACAGATGTGGACCCCAGGGGTCACATCTTGGCTAATGATGAGACACATTCAAGGGAACATCAACTAACCAGACAAAGCAAATGAGGAGGAAAGGGCAGAAACAGATATGTAATAAAGACAAAAGGACGAGTGAAAATCAAAAGAGAGAAAAAAAATAGTCGGTGATCTTGGAACGTTGTCAAGTATCATGAAAGGAAAAACCAAGACTGACAACATTATACATGCCTTTGATTACTGTACGCCACCCTCAGTCATTTCACATGACATTTTCCACAGCGGTGGCATTTCCAGCGCACAGTTGGGCACGTTTTGTGTCAGAGCATAAAGTCACCCCCAGAGTGACAGATGGTAGATCAGGCCCAGCAGGGAGAGTGGAGAGAGGGAAGAGAAGGCAAAGGGGCTGTCCCACAGTCACAAAAGTGTTTAGGGTCAGAGGTCGGGGAAGCATCTGCTCTGGCCTGAGGGGACATTGCAGCGCTGGGAGAGACCTGTTGCCGTGGTGTGTGCTGCTGGTCTTTTCAGCGTGTGGGTGGATCTTTATCTCTGACTTCAGGACAAACAAGGTCTATTACAGTCAGTTTGCGTGGGAGTTAACTACACACACACACACACACAGGATGGTACACACACACCATTATTAACACCTCGTTTTTATCATAGTGGGTGAGATTTTTGTACCTCAGCAGTGAATTACCTTTATAATTCACTCAGTGTGTTTTCCCGGTGACTTCAAAGTCACCTCAAATGCTTTTACAATCTTGTGCCAATTACAACTGTCTGGACTCCCTGTAGAGGCCCTGCTAAAAACTCCCTGTTGGTCTCACCTATCTAAGTCAACAATAGAGTTTTGAACAATCCGGTGCAACACAAGGGGAAATCTGCAAAAGGGAAACAGCTACGAGTTTAAAAGAAAAATGTCCCTTTAACAGGAAAAAATGATTCCCCATGGTAAGCTGAATGAGAGCTAAAGTACAGAAAACTAGAAGGAAATATTTTATGTGAAAAGGGAAATAAACAAAAAAAAAGGGAACAGGTAAGTAAGAGAGGAATTAAGAATAAGTCGTGTGGTTTGGAGGCACAGAAGTTGCAACAGCTGACTTCACATGGGTTCTTTATGTCCCCGGAGGAGAGGTTGGCTTTGTCAGCACCCCTGTCTGAGAAGGGGACAGAAGGGAGGGGGAGGAGGAAGGGGAAAGGAGGAGGGGACACGAGGATGGGGGAGGAGAAGGAGTCCTGACCAACAGCTGCCTTCATTAACATGCGCACCTGCTCCCTGTGGAGATACTAGGAGGCCAACAGATGCCCTCCTTTACACATAACCACTCACACACTCAGGTCACAGCTACACACAGTCACACAAGCCTCCCGATTCAAATGTAAACACTTTTCTGGTGACTTTAAATGCTCCCTCACGTGACAGATGGGACTGCAGTGTTATGTACGGGCTGCATATCAAATAATGTCTGTGCATTTCATTAGCACAATGCTAAAACAGTCAATTTCTTGTACTCTTTGGTCAAAATGTATTGATTTTTTCTTTTTTTCTTTTTTTTACAAACACCCTGTAACCACAGTGGGCAGAACCCATCTTTGTGAAATTTATGAGAGAATTTGTTCAACTAACCAGCCACTTTGAGCTGTGTGACTTAGCAGTAACAGTCCTTGGTCTGGATAGGAGGGAAGCAGGCTTAGGGCCTGAATGCAGAGCTTCATATCAGTCATCCATGAGCGGCACATTCCCCTTGATCTCTACGGTCATTGTGGATGAGTATGGACAGCATGGGGGCGAAAGGTAGATGGGAACAGGCTGTTAGACTGCTAGACTATTTTGTGGCGTCTGTTGTCCCGGCAGAATGTATTTTCAAGGTTCTGAGGGAAGCTAATCCAGAGAGACGTATTAGAACAACATGTTATCCCTGTCACACTGCAGTGGGACTTTGTTGGGCGGGAAACTTTTAGTTCCCTTCTACACCTCCCCCTTACACATCAAACCCCTCATTTTACTCCCCTTTTGTTTAGATAATTGTTCCCATGCTAAAAAAAAAGTCATGCTTTTCTAATCATTGCTGCTCCCTCTCTTCGCTGTCTGTTCCCAGGTGTCCCAGTGACTACATAGGCAGCCGGTGCCAGTATCCAAATCCCTGCAGTCCTTCGCCATGCCGCAACGGTGGCGAATGCCGCGCTGTTTCCCATAGCAACACGTTCGATTTCCGCTGCGTGTGCCGCCTGGGTTTCACTGACCGACTGTGCCTGACCCCCACCAACCACGCCTGTATGAGCTCCCCCTGTCGCAATGGAGGAACATGCCATCTCATTGCCCTCAATGCCTACCGCTGCGACTGTCCACCTGGATGGTCTGGTATGTATGGAAATGTTCAAAACTTGTTTCGTGACTACAAATCTTTTGCCCCTCTTTTAAGCCCTTTTTATGATTATTTCACTTTTACTATGTTACTTTCCAGGTAAAACCTGCCAGGCTGCCAACCCATGTGCTTCCAATCCATGTGCAAATGGTGGCCTGTGCTCAGCCTTAGAATCCACCTACATCTGCAAATGCCCACGCGCTTTTACTGGTCAAACCTGCAAGCAGGATGTAAACGAGTGTGCCCAGACTCCCTCTCCCTGTCTCAATGGCGGCGTATGCGTGAATGAGGTGGGCTCGTATCACTGCCGTTGTCCTCAAGAGTACACAGGCCAGCACTGCGAGAACCCCTATCTGCCATGCAGCCCGTCACCATGCCAGAATGGAGGCACTTGCGTCCAGAAGGGGGACACCGCTTACGACTGTAGCTGTCTTCCAGGTATGGCACAAACATGAATTTACAGAGTAATGGTAGCTGCCACGTGGAGTTGTGGATGGTTAGTGTGGTAACAAAACACACAATTGTTTTTCCTGTTACATCAGTTGACCTACAAACCAGCCTGTTGTTGTAGTAAAATCTGATTGGGTGGAGTGGAGTAATCTGGAATCACCGCTCTTCCCCTCTCTCTCTGCCAGCCTGCACAGCAGGATGCAGTTGCACAGACGTTTCCTTCTGATAATCGGTAGCGAGCCCCTACAATGGCAGAGAAACCCACATGCACACAAACCTATAGATTTACACACCCTATTCACGAGATCACAGACTCGCAAAAATAGCTTGTTTTTCACATCAACACTGCCAGCCTGTCTGCCACATTTATTGCTCAATGTTGTGGTAACTGCTGTTAAGAGTCAGGACACCAGATGTGTAGAAAGTGCACACACAATACATACGTGTAGATGTGGGGAAATAAAGAGGAGAAAAAACAATTAGGGATTTTGCATCAAACCTATACAGTACTTATGTTTAAATTATTCATACCATGCTTTCTAATTTTTATTAGAAAGTACTGTATAATTTTTCATAGAAGGTCACAGTTAGTTCCAAAGGTCACAATCTTACTTTGGAGTAGTAGCAGTGTACATTGCGGACTCTTAGGGAAAGTATTACCTCCTTATCCCTAGCACACCACATCAGTTAAAATAAAAGGGTGGTTGGATCAAGCTTTAACTTGCCTGTGTTTTTGTCTCATTATGTGGTCAGCACAGAGCCCGTTGTTTGGACATGCGGATGAATAACTGATGTTGTGTGTCGAAGTTTTAAGTCACGCTGCGTGCCAGTTGCGGGTGTCTTTGCTGGAATGCGTTTAGATAGCGCACCAGTACAGGCACCTGTGGAGCTGTGGGTTGATTGTTAAGCGGAGCTATTGTGCCTATAAAACACCCACACAAGCCTTTGATGTTAACAGAGGGGACAGGCTGTGCTCTGCCACGAGCTTGTATATCTATTTTTATGCAGGAAGGAAAGGTCTGATTATTACCCGCAATCAAGTGTCGCAAGAGCTTTTCTACATTTTGACTCGTTTGTTCTCACCCCACGCCAATCCAACAGGCTTCACAGGCCACAACTGTGAGATCAACATCGATGACTGTCCAGGCCACAGCTGCCAGAACGGTGGTGTTTGTGTGGACGGGGTGAACACCTACAACTGCCGATGCCCACCTCATTACACAGGTACCTTTCACTTAAAGGCTTTAAAAAAATCATCCAATAACATTTTAAGATGATAAATACCAACTTTTTTTTTTCTCTTTTAGGTCAATACTGCACAGAAAATGTGGACGAGTGCGAGCTGATGCCCAATGCATGTCAGAATGGCGGGACATGCCATGACACGCATGGTGGCTATCACTGCGTCTGTGTAAATGGGTGGACTGGCGACGACTGCAGCGAGAACATTGATGACTGCGCCAGTGCAGCTTGTCACCACGGTGCCACCTGCCACGACCGCGTGGCCTCATTCTTCTGCGAGTGCCCCCATGGACGCACAGGTATGGCTCTTGTGACCCCTCTGTGAATGCTATGCAGACATATCATGATCTTAATGTTTAGAGAGTAAAATGTAATACATCCATGGCTACAGGTCTGTTGTGCCACCTTGATGATGCCTGCATCAGCAACCCATGCCAGAAGGGCTCCAACTGCGACACCAACCCAGTCAATGGCAAGGCAATATGCACCTGTCCCCCAGGTTACACTGGATCGGCCTGCAACCTGGATATCGATGAGTGCTCTCTGGGTATGTTATTACGCTACCAGTTTGTCTCCTTTAGTTTGGATTACAACCCTCTGATGATTCTGATTCTTTGCAGTTAACACGCAGAACTGATTTATTACATTTATTACAACTTGCATATTTAATGTTTTAGGTGCTAACCCCTGTGAGCATGGCGGTCGCTGCCTCAACACAAAGGGCTCCTTCCAGTGCAAGTGCCTCCAAGGGTATGAAGGGCCTCGTTGTGAGATGGATGTCAACGAATGCATGTCTAATCCTTGCCACAATGATGCCACCTGCCTGGACCAGATCGGAGGGTTCCACTGCATCTGCATGCCAGGTAAAGCATCGGTTTGTAATACAAGAAGACTACTTTTCTTTTGACATGTTTTTTTCCTTTACTTTGTGGTAAGAAAAGAAACGTGACCTGACCTATAACTCCCATTTCAGGATATGAGGGTGTGTTCTGCCACATCAACACAGATGAGTGTGCCAGCCAACCTTGTCTCAACAATGGCAAGTGCATTGACAAGATCAACTCCTTCCACTGCGAGTGCCCCAAAGGTGAGAAATAATCTGATTACTACAGTAAAAACAGCCACAAAAATAGCTTCCATGGTATCATTTTAACCCTCCCTTTTTTTGGCAAGACAGTGGGAGCTAAGAAAAGAGGGTGGATCATTAACTATCTGTAAATGAGTGCCGTGCATGCAGTCCCCCGATTGAACGTAAATGATTTACTTCTTCTAATAGTGTCAGTGAAGCATTTACGAGTGTGCTGGACAGAACAGACTGGGCTGCAGAAACATTAGCATATTTGGCGGGCTGGAGAGTTTGTGTAAGAGCTTAGCGCCAGAATTGGGGGGGTAGGGTTTGGTTTTTAGCTGGTAAGCTGTGGACTATTGTGATGTGGTTTGAAAGAAAGATTTCACTGCACAGTAAGAGCCCGAAAAAGGAGGGGTGAAGGGAGTGTTGTGGAATGATTTGTTAGGACTTTCAGCACCACGTGGCCTTTTTTAGATGCAAATTTCAGCAATTTTCTGCATTTCTGCAAATATATTTCCTCTCAATATTGAAAGAAGTTTAATTCTCTGTTTTAAAAAAATGCATCTGCAGGCTTTTCAGGGAGTCTCTGTCAGGTGGACGTTGACGAGTGTGCCAGCACACCCTGCAAGAATGGAGCTAAATGCACCGATGGACCCAACAAGTACACCTGTGAATGTGCTGAAGGTACACCAGACTAATCCTTTCTTCTAATTTATTGCGTAATCTTGTTTGTCTTTCTTAGAAAAAAGTTGCGGGTGTTAAAGCTGTTCTCCTACATTACAGGATACACAGGGCAGCACTGTGAGATTGACATCAATGAGTGCTACTCCAATCCCTGCCACTATGGCACCTGCAGGGATGGCCTGGCTTCCTTCACCTGTCAGTGCCGCCCAGGCTACACTGGCCGCTTGTGTGAAACTAACATCAACGAGTGTCTAAGCCAGCCCTGTAAGAACGGCGGCATTTGCCAGGACAGGGAGAATACATACATCTGTTCCTGCCCACAAGGCACTGCGGGTGAGACTTTAATATTATACAACTTTGAAATTCTTCCAGTGAAATATGCCTACACTTTCTTCACCTTTTTTCTGGCCCTTATGTATATTCTGATCTACAGGTTTCAATTGTGAAGTGAACCTGGATGACTGCAAGAGCAAGCCCTGTGACTACGGGAAGTGCATCGACAAAATAAATGGCTATGAATGTGCATGCGAGCCCGGTTACACAGGTGAGCGCTGGGTGGAGTTTACAGGTGCAGGGGGGTGGTCACCTGAGCTTTGGGAGGGGCAGGTAGAACAGGTGGCTGGCGGACCCATTCCTGTGGAACAATGGTGTCATGTTGCCTATGTGGGACGGAGGAGAAGAGAAAGGGAACACAGCCTGATACATGCACACAGCACACACAAAGCACTGACTTTGTTTCCCGTCTGAAAAGATTGTGACGTTGAGCTTGCAAAGACTCTGTAAACTGATACTTTGAAAGGAAAAGAGAGGCTGTCCTTTAATCACATATCTGATGATTATTAGTGTGTCTCCACGACAAGCCAGTTAACACTTGATTTACTAAGCAAGCTAACCTGCACTAAAATACAGAACTTTGGTGACAGGCACTCTTTAAGAAATAGACCAGGCAGGTCACACGGATCCGGTTCTGACTGGTAGTGGTTATGTGATTGTGCTAAAACCAGGGATGGATGTGTGGTTATGGGGAATGTGTGTGTGTGTGGATGTGAAGGCTGCCCCCCCCCCCCCCCCCCAAAAAAAATCTTTTTGTGCTGAGTGTAGAGGGCACGGCAGGACTGAGACACAGAGGGACAGAGGGCTATTGTAACTGAAGATCAGGCAGTTGGGCCCTCCTCTCCTGACTGATGAAGAGCATAGGAGGAGGGAGCCGGGTACGAGATCAGAAAGGGGGGTGGGGTTAATTGTTACTCAGCCATGTGTGAAATAAGTCTGGCCTTCTGTCCCTGTAAACAGCCCTGGGTGAGGTTAGGTCTCCTGGATGGGGGTGGTGTGTGTGTGTGTGTGTGCTCCCCCCTCTCTGTGATTCAGCTGAGGGGCTCCTTCTGCCTATTCAACAGGGCCCTATTCAATCAATGTAGCAGAGGTAAAAGAGCCTCCAGGGGCCACCAGGCTTGGTACACATTGTATTTGTTGAATATTGAGGGAGTTTGTCTTTTTGTTTTTCATATGCAAAAAAAACCCTGCACAGATTATCTCAGTGAGCAAACTGTAAGGCCTTAAATTATATCACATGGGAGTATCCAGCTGTTTGGCTTCGATAATGGCCAGCTTAGTTATTGATCACTTCAGTTCATCCAAAAGAAACGTTTGTGACACTGTTCTTAAAACCAGATTTACTGTCTTACAGGAGCAATGTGTAACATCAACATTGACGACTGTGCCATCAACCCCTGTCACAATGGAGGCACATGTGTGGATGGCATCAATAGCTTCACCTGCCTGTGCCCAGAGGGATACAATGATGCCACCTGTTTGTCCGAGGTTGATGAGTGTAGCAGCAACCCCTGCATACATGGCAGATGCCAGGACCTTCTTAATGGGTGAGTAGGGATCCAGGTTGTATGAGGAAAAAAAAGTACACACACACACACACACACACACACACACACACACACATATATATTTATATATATCAATTACTGAACAAGCCTTTCTACTAAAGATACAAATGTACCTGTGACTCTGGCTGGAGCGGTCAAAATTGCGACATCAATAACAATGAATGTGAGTCCAACCCATGCATGAACGGAGGAACCTGCAAGGATATGACCAGCGGATACCACTGCACGTGCCGAGTTGGCTTCACAGGTCAGTGTTTGGCCCTACCTGCACTTTTCTTTTTTATTCGTGCACAGATTGAATGAGGAGAGCCTTGTTGGCCAACATCTAACCAAAGTGTGTTCTCTAATTCCAACTGCTGTAGGTCCTAATTGCCAAACTAACATCAATGAGTGCGCCTCCAACCCCTGCCTCAACCAGGGCACTTGCATCGATGATGTGGCTGGATACAAGTGCAATTGTTTGCTTCCTTACACCGGTACGACATGTAACTGCTTATCTCCCACTGTGAGAATTACAACTGCTAACTGGATTGTTCATTTAACTAGCACCTGCTTTTAGCTGTTTGCACAGGTCTGATAGCATGAACACAATCTTCCAAGTTTCCACTGAAAAAGGATTAGATTGTTATATTCCGTGTTGTTTTTGAAAACATCACCCAGCAGCTACTGACAGGGATGTCTGGTTTTTGGCGTCTCTGTGTGGAAAGATCTGCTCGTCTGTTTTGCTGGGATAATAGCGTGTGTGTGTGTGTGCTTTTTGGAATAACAGGCCGTTGTGGCTAATGTAACGCAGAGACCCGGACACTGCTCCGAGTACTAGTCCCACTTCCGCCATGTCCTGTTTCCTGTCTATGAACAAACAATAGCAGGAAACAGGAAGGCCTTTCCTGTTTGGCTAAGATGTCATGGAAATGAATAAGGAAGTGGAATGGAAACTGGAATTAAAAAAAAGTTGTGTTGCTTTTAAAATTGTGTTTTGCAGTCACTGAAACTGTGGTGCTTATTTTATTACATGCAGTTAGGTACTCAAAAGGAGCTCCTATGTAATGCCAGAGTGATTCAATCAATGTTGGTTTTTTTTGGTCATACCAGGGGAAAATTGTGAGACTCTACTGGCCCCCTGCAGTTCCAGGCCATGTAAAAATGGTGGAATATGTAAGGAGTCGGAAGATTATCAAAGCTTCTCCTGCATCTGCCCTGAAGGATGGCAAGGTATACATTTTTCCAGCTAGTGTTTTTCTTTTTTTTTTTATTGTTTGGCTGAATGTGTGTGTAGTCAGTTAGTATATAATTACCCAACAGTACAATACATTTTTTTTGTTTTCCCCTTCAGGTCAAACATGTGAGATCGATATCAATGAATGTGTGAAGAGCCCATGCCGCAATGGCGCCCTTTGCCTCAACACCATGGGAGGTTACCAGTGCAAGTGCCAGCCGGGTTACTCTGGCCAGAAGTGTGAGACAGACATCGATGACTGCAAACCAAGTAAGAAGCAAATCTAAAGCCTTTTAAGTTCCCACTTTGTGTTTGACTTAAAACAAAAGTGGCAATCATACTTCCTTTTCTTGCATTTCAGATCCCTGCAGTAATGGTGGCCTGTGCCGCGATGGCATCAACAGTTTCACATGCACCTGTCCGCCCGGGTTTCGTGGTGGCAGATGTGAGCAGGACATAAATGAGTGCGAGAGCAACCCGTGCAGGAACGGGGCCAACTGCACCGATTGTGTGAACAGCTACACCTGCACCTGCCCACCTGGCTTCAGCGGTATCAACTGTGAGATCAACACAAACGACTGCACTGACAGGTAGCTCCCCTCACTACAATCTGTTATTATTATTAAACTGTTCTGATGAACTGACCCAGAGGAAAGTAAGGGATTTAACATTTCCTATTTTCTTGTTTCAATAGTTCTTGCTTTAATGGTGGCACCTGTGTGGATGGAATCAACACTTTCACCTGCCTGTGCTTACCCGGATTCACAGGGAGCTATTGTCAATATGATATCAATGAGTGTGACTCCAAGCCATGCCTCAATGGAGGCACTTGTCTTGACAGTTATGGGACCTACAAATGCACCTGTCCTCATGGCTACACAGGGATCAATTGTCAGGTAGGGAGAAATACTCTTATCTTTGTCTTATCACATGCCTAGGCTTCTTTACTACATCTAAGTACCTTCTCTCTTTTTTATCCTAAATTAGAATCTTGTGCGCTGGTGTGACTCTGCTCCCTGCAAAAATGGAGGCTCGTGTTGGCAGCAAGGTGCCTCCTACACCTGCCAGTGTCAGACTGGATGGACTGGCCTCTACTGTGACATCCCAAGTGTTTCCTGTGAGGTGGCGGCTAAACAGCAAGGTACGCTCATTTCGATTATAAGGTGAAGCTTTTGATAGTAAATTTGCTATAGTCTGGTGGGCAGTTTGTACATTCTGAAACTCCTCGTTTGTCTTTGATTGTAGGTGTTGACGTGGCTCACTTGTGCTGGAATTCGGGCCAGTGTCTGGATGCTGGAAACACGCATTATTGCCGCTGCCAAGCTGGCTACACTGGCAGTTACTGCCAGGAACAGGTGGACGAGTGCTCACCCAACCCTTGCCAAAATGGAGCCACCTGCACTGATTATCTAGGAGGCTACAGTTGTGAGGTAAAAGGATATATGAGTAATTTAAAGATGAATTGATTTATTTAAGTTATCTTAAATAAAGTCCTGGACAGGACTCTGTCAGCTAAGCCAGCTTGATAAACCATTGTCACCAGGACACTGATTTATATTTGGTGTTATGACTCTTTTCTGGGAACTTCCTATATATGTGGTACTTGTAAGGCACCTCCCAACCCCTTCATGAACATGCATGGAAAGCAGGGAGCAGTGAGAGCAGTAGCAGAGAATACAACCGTTATAACAGTGATTAAGTCAGTTAGAGCATTAAATGAGGAGCTGGGATAGAGGTGGGTTGCAAAGTGATTTGCAGATGCATATGGGAATCAGCTGAGCCACCAAGTGATTGGTTGGCATTAAGACAAACTGTTCTGAAGGGATTGCAGCTGATATGGATTTAATAGTCACTCTGAAATATGATATAATAGATACATCAAGAGGCTGTTTATTTCTGGTAACCCTCTAAACTTGTTTCTCATTTAAATAACAAAATATGCTTGAATATCTTTTATTGTCAGTGTGTCCCTGGCTACCATGGTGTGAACTGCTCAAAAGAGATCAATGAATGTCAGTCTCAGCCCTGCCAAAATGGAGGGACATGCATCGACCTAATCAACACATACAAGTGCTCGTGTCCCAGAGGAACACAAGGTATCTTATAGTTTAGCATATGTGCATACACACATTCCAAAAAATATACTTGATAAATGAATACCTAGGTATCCATGGTGTGTAACCCAACTTATCTGTTTCCCGTAGGTGTCCACTGCGAGATTAACTTAGATGACTGCAACCCCTTCAGAGACCCACTCACTAATGAGCCCAAGTGCTTTAACAATGGCAAGTGTGTGGACCGCATTGGAGGCTACCAGTGTGTGTGCCCACCGGGTTATGTAGGTGAGCGCTGTGAAGGGGACGTCAATGAGTGTTTGTCAGATCCTTGTGACCCCAGAGGCTCCTACAACTGCATCCAACTCACCAACAGCTACCGGTGTGAATGCCGCACTGGGTATACAGGTACTGAATGTGGATCAGCAGCAAAAGTACAGCAAAAGTCTAAATGTTTTCTAAGAGTAGCTGACACATGCTTTTTGCTTCTGTGCCACAGGCCAGCGTTGTGACAAGGTATTTGATGGCTGCAAAGGGCGACCTTGCAGAAATGGGGGGACATGTGCTGTTGCCAGTAACACACCTCATGGTTTTGTCTGCAAATGTCCACCTGTGAGTAAAACATTATAGCGTCTACTTAAATGTTAGCACTTAAAAAGTCCTTTTAAACCAAAGCATAGCACACTAATCATGAAGTCTGTGTTATTTCTGCCCCTGTAGGGTTTCACTGGCTCCACCTGCGAGTATGACTCTCGTGCCTGTGGGAGTCTGAATTGCAGGAATGGTGGCACGTGTGTGTCAGGCCACCTAAGTCCACGCTGCCTGTGTCCTTCAACCTTCACCGGGCCTGAGTGCCAAACTCCGACTGACAGCCTCTGCATCTCGAACCCCTGTTACAATGGTGGCACTTGTCAGATAACTCCAGACCCTCCGTTTTTCCAGTGTAGCTGCCCCAGCAACTTCAATGGTCTGCTCTGCCATATACTTGACTACTCGTTCGTTGGCGGGTTTGGCCGGGACATCACCCCACCTCCGGAGGTGGAGATGAGCTGCGAGATTCCACAGTGTGACGAGTTTGCAGGAAACCACATCTGCAACTCAGTGTGCAACAACCACGCCTGCGGCTGGGATGGAGGAGACTGTTCGCTTAATTTTGATGATCCGTGGCAAAACTGCTCCTCTGCTTTACAGTGTTGGCGATACTTCAATGATGGGAAGTGTGATGGGCAGTGTAATAGCCCTGGGTGTCTCTATGATGGTTTTGATTGCCAAGGACAAGAAGGACAATGCAAGTAAGTGTCACAGAAATGTCTTGGGTGTTTTTTTTAAAGATTTGTGGGACGGTATCAGAATATTAACCCAGTCTTATTTTGTTTTTCAGCCCTCTATATGATCAGTATTGTAAAGACCACTATGCTGATGGTCACTGTGACCAGGGCTGCAACAACGCAGAATGTGAATGGGATGGACTGGACTGTGCCAACAACATGCCAGAGAAACTGGCTGATGGACATTTAGTTCTTGTGGTCCACATCCCACCAGATGAGCTTAAGAACCGCTCTTCAGCCTTCCTCAGAGAGCTCAGCAGTGTCCTTCACACTAATGTGGTGTTCCGCCGTGACGCCAAAGGAGAACCCATGATCTTCCCTTACTATGGCAATGAGCAAGACCTTGTTAAGCATAATGTGCTGAAGCGCTCTGCAGATGGGTGGCCTGACTGGTCTTCGATGCCAGCCAGTGTTTTGGATCAAGTTAAAGAGGGTGTGTCATCCATCGTCAGCTCCCGGAAACGCAGAGAGTTGGATCCTTTGCAAATCAAAGGGTAGGGCACAACATAGAGAGTTTTAGCTAGGTTTAACATTTAATCACTAAATAATTACACTGATTTGTATTCACATCACAAAAAGGCTAAAAAAGGTTAATGCTACTGTGGCTATCTATCTCTGCTCATAGGTCTGTGGTGTACCTGGAGATTGACAACCGTCAGTGTTACCAGCAGTCTACTGAATGCTTCCAGAGTGCCACAGATGTAGCTGCATTCCTTGGAGCACTGGCCACCAGTGGGAATCTCAATGTTCCCTACATTGAAGCTGTCACAAGTACGTGTCTCAGTTTCAGCCATAAGATTTTTCCATACATATACACATATATGCATACACAAACACAATGCATTTCAGTCATGTAAAATAATTTTATTTTAAACAATCATTCCAGGTGTGAGACCCACTCCCTCTGATTCAGAGCTCTACCCCATGTATATAATCTTCCTCGGTTTGGCTGCTCTGGGTTTCATCTGTCTGGGTGTTCTGGTGTCCCGTAAGCGGCGACGAGAGCACGGCCAGCTCTGGTTTCCTGAAGGATTCAAAGCATCGGAGCCAAGCAAAAAGAAACGCAGCGAGCCACTGGGAGAGGATTCTGTTGGCTTAAAGTAAGTGCACTCTGAAAGTGGAATGTGAAGGTTATTGGCACTGGCAGTGGGTCACTATATTTCCTTGACTTGTATTTGCTTTGCTGTAGGTGCTCTAATCTGCAACCTCTTTTCAATAGGCCAATGAAACACTCGGACATGAACCTCATGGATGACAATCAAAATGAATGGGAGGACGAGGATCCGGAGTGCAAACGCTTCAGGGTAAGAAGAGTTTTCCTTTGCACCAAAGCTGTCCATTCTAAATTTTATCATCTCTGATACTAACACTGACACTAACTGGTGTGTCTTTCAGTTTGAGGAACAGGCCATGTTGGATTTGGGTGATCATACAGATCACAGGAAATGGACACAGCAACATCTGGATGCAGCGGACCTGCGGATTGAATCCATTGCTCCTACACCTCCTCAGGGAGACATAGAGAATGGATGCATGGATGTCAATGTCAGAGGACCAGGTGTGTAACTGGAAAACTCACAATTTTTCTGTCAGGGTGTCACAAACGAATAAAACATAAATTATCTTTTGAATTACAACTGACTGAAGATGCTTATATACTCACTGATCCACTCCCCCTTCTTTTCAGATGGTTTTACTCCCTTGATGATCGCCTCCTGCAGCGGTGGAGGACTGGAGAATGGCAACAGTGAAGAGGAAGAGGATCCATCGGCAGAAATAATCTCTGACTTTATTTACCAGGGCGCCAACCTCCATAACCAGACTGACCGTACAGGCGAGACTGCCCTCCACCTGGCTGCCCGCTATGCCCGCTCAGATGCTGCCAAACGCCTCTTGGAATCCAGCGCAGATGCCAACGTTCAGGACAACATGGGTCGCACACCGCTTCATGCAGCCGTGGCAGCAGATGCACAGGGAGTGTTCCAGGTAAATGCCCTGGAAATCCCCTCAGGATTTTATTTTCAGGACAATGTTTGTCCCAGTTTGATCCAACAGTTTAAATTAATTTAACAGAAAACATCTTGTGTCCTTGCAGATTTTAATCCGAAACCGTGCTACTGATCTTGACGCCCGCATGCACGATGGAACAACACCATTGATTCTGGCGGCCCGTTTAGCAGTTGAGGGCATGGTTGAAGAACTTATCAACTGTCACGCCGATGCTAATGCCACTGATGAATCTGGTAGCTAAAGTTTTATCAAACTACAATCTTTACAGTTTTCACAAATGGCTTATTGTGCTAGGGGTCATGATAATAAACCCCGAATTTGCACTCTCTGCAGGTAAATCTGCTCTGCACTGGGCTGCAGCTGTAAACAATGTGGAGGCTGCTGTGGTACTGCTGAAAAATGGTGCCAACAAAGATATGCAAGATAATAAGGTATGTGAAATGATATGCATTTAATGGCGGTTTTCCACAAGCCTTTGTCCTTACATTTACAGTGATTATCTAGTGTATGAAGTGTTGTTTAATGAGAAGTGGGTATTTCCACCCAGGAGAGCATACCTCCCTGCTAGAACATGTACTTGTATATCCTTGATAAGAACAACAGGTATAATAAGTCATACACATAAAAAAGATGAGATGCGGTGAAAAGCAGCTTAGAGATGCAGCAAAGGTAGGCAATCTTAAGCAGCTTAAACACTGTATAAAAGTCCTGTTTGAGATTTGTTAGTTAGATCAACAACAAAACAAAAAAAAAACTGTTATCAGCTGCTGACTAGACGTCTACAGTGAATTGTTGTTGCAACCTACGTAAGTGGCCAACATCATTGGTGGTGGTGTGGCAAAAAAAAAAAAGAAATGCCTGTTTTGTTATAAATTTAATGTTATATTCGTTGTAATTTCTGCTGTCCTCTTGACCAGATCTCTCATGAAAAACTATTTTTAAATGTCAATGGTTTTACCCAATTAAATGCAGGATATATAAAAGTCACATTGCTAAAAATCTGAGCATCTGTGATACATTAATATATCATTATTATTCATTATACTTATTCAGTAATTGTTATTCTCACTCTGATAAATTAAAAAACAGAGGCAAAAAAGCAGCCGTAAATGCATAGTTGGAATCAACTGAACCGGCCAATCACAAAAGTTATGGGCTGCATCACTGCGATGTGTAGTTACATTTCTAGTGAGGTGCAAATCAGATTATGCCGTGGGGCTTCAGAGAGGTTTGTAGTTACAGTGGTGTAGAATTCCTGCTGAAACAGAAATCCCCATTTACACTGACTTTGTGGCCTGCCTTAACTAATGATAATCTCAATATTTGGTTTCTTTATAGGAAGAAACGCCGCTCTTCTTGGCAGCCCGTGAAGGGAGCTATGAGACAGCGAAAGTTCTTCTGGAGCATTTTGCCAATCGCGAGATCACCGATCATCTTGACCAGCTGCCCAGAGATATTGCCCAGGAACGCATGCACCATGACATTGTGCGTCTTCTGGATGAATACAACGTGGTCCGGAGTCCTGGGCTTCATAGTGCACCCCTAAGCACCTCCACCCTCTCCCCACCTCTCTGTTCTCCCAATGACTATCTCAGCAACCTCAAGCCAAACGTTTCGGGCAAGAAGATTCGTAAGCCTAGCTCGGGTGGAAAAGGAGGAAAGGACAACGGCAAAGATAATAGGCTGAAGAAGAAAAAGTCAGTGGATGGGAAGAGTAACTTGCTAGACACATCAGGTGTCCTCTCACCAGTTGATTCCCTCGAGTCACCCCATGGCTACCTTTCCGATGTTGCCTCGCCTCCCATGGCTTCCCCCTTTCAGCAATCGCCCCCAATGTCTTTAAATCACCTGCAGGGGAATGGAGATTCCCATCCTGGCCAGATGAACATGGGTAAGGATCTGAGTTGCATGGCTTTTGATCCTAACCCACCCCGTCTCTCCCATTTGCCTGTGTCCAGCCCCAACAGTCAGGGCGCAGCATCTATAGGTGGTAGCAGAGGGGGGCAGTGTGATTGGGTCTCCAGGATGCACTCAAGCATAGGCCAGCAAGGAAGCTTCACCCAACCACCACAGATAACCCATAACATGATGGGTCCTCTGCATGGTGTCAGTACTGCCACCCTGTCTCAGATAATGGGCTACCAGAATCTGCAAACCAGCCATCTGGGCTCGTCCGCTCACATGATGCAACAGGCTCACTCGCGGCAGCTCCAGCACCAGAACTCTAACAACACCACAGCCACTCAGTCCCTCAACCAGAGTTTCCCAACTGTTGAGCTGAATAGATCTGACATGCAGCAAAACAACTGCTCAGGCCGCACCATGCCCATCCACACGGTGATGCCGCAGGAGACCCAGATTCTTGGCACCCAGTTTCTCACCCCTCCATCTCAGCACAGCTATTCAGGCCCAATGGACAACACACCTAGCCACCAGCTACAGGTGCCTGACCACCCATTTTTAACCCCCTCCCCTGGGTCCCCTGACCAATGGTCCAGCTCTTCCCCACATTCCAACATGTCTGATTGGTCAGAGGGCATCTCCAGCCCTCCCACAAGTATCCACTCGCAGATGAATCTAATCCCAGACCAGTTTAAGTAAAAACTTGTAAAATGGACTGAACTCTTGTGTGGACTACATAAAAAATATCCAATGTTCACCATGAATGACACAGAAAAAACTTGTTTCAAGACTGAACATGTTCTTTTTTCTATTTTCAGTTTTTATACTAATGACAAGAACAATTTTAGTAATTTTGTATTTATTTATGTGCTTTTTTGACCTGAAAGATAAAGATGTTTTTATATTTATGCTTTTAAATTTTTATTGTTTTGGGGGTTTTTTTGTTCTGTTTTTTATGTATGGGAAGACTAGAACCCATAAAAGGGAGTGTATATCAGAAAACAGCTCCTGCGTGTGTACACTGGCTATTTATTTCTGTCATCTGTTGGTATATTTACTCGATTTATTTTAATATTTGACGTATCGGTCTTGACAGATTTTATCCTTGGGTTGCTTTATGTTTGTACTTTTTAAAAAAAATTATAGATTATTTTAAAGTTTCAGTATTAATTATATTCTAACCTCGTTTGTCCTTTTAATTTCCACAGTTTTTGTTACTAAACTACATTTCACTAAGTCTTATCAGAGTCTGCTTTGATCAGATTTGTACATAAAGCATCACCTTTCATGATGTTGCTTGCTACACTATTCTCTGTAAAAAATAATGGTGGAGACAGTAACTGAGCAAAGGTATCAAAGATATAATACTTTAAAAATGTTGGACCTTAAAGCACAGAACAACTATGTCCTGTCGGCTGAGAGCTGCTTTTGAGAATGAGTTTAAATCATCTCAGTAAATCTGAGCCTATTCTATTGAATAGCAGTCTTGGCTGGCAATGAGTAATAGATTTGTGGTCATTCGTGATGCAAGGACTGTTTCTTTATTGCATACTTATATCACAAATCAATGATTACATGTTTAACCTGTTTTGTGTTAAATGGCAAACCTGTAGTAGAACACTGAAATGTTACATTTGCCACAATTTCAAATAGTGCCAGTGCTTTTTGAAACGCAGTGTATGTGTGTGTGAATTCTCTTGTAAAAAATGTGGGGCAGAAATTGTGAAGGAAGCTGGGACCTTTGTATGTTTAATGGAATCACCTGCACTTTTAAAGGAGTGTGGTTTAAGGTGTTTAAATGTCACGTTTTATAAACTAATCCAGAGGTAAAGGTGTTTTTTTTAAGAAAAAATAATGAATTCAAAATCAAACTTCATGCAAAGTTGTAGTTTGCTAAGAAATATTTGCTGAATAAAAATGTTTTGTAAAAATGGTCTTGATTCAATAAAAGCTATTGTTAAACTTTAAAATGTGTGTCTTTCTGAATTTTACTTTATTTTCTGAAAAAGAAAATGCCTGCTAGGGTTGCTGATAAACATTTGTGTGTAACATGATGTTAACTGAACTAGATAAGAATAAATGTGTGTTTGCTACTATCGCTATTCATGCAGTGGGCTTGCTAGCTAATCTGCTGAAGATTATAGCTGATTTGAAAGTATGCCACAAAGGAATTATGTCATTATTTACATCTCTTCAAGTTTCAGTGGACTTATAACAATATGGTGCATGTACAGAGCTGACAGTTTTTCTTCCTGGTGCCTACCAGACAGGTTTAGGCCAGTACCAACAGTGCTGTCACATTATAATGCAATACTTTTTTTAAGTACATAATTTTGCTAACTGGCACTATGTTTGCTTAAGCTTAATTAAACTAAAGATAAACCTAAAGTACAATATTTCATTCCTTTGCTGTATGTGAACCATTCTGAGTCAGATAGAACATGTTCAATTTTTATCTGAGCCACTGAGTGTCAACGTTTTGCACACTCACAGCCCGCTATTTGTTACACGGGCTCGTCCACTTTTTACTTTTATAATTGCATAAATAAATTTTCATGGCACAGATTCAAAAAGGTGCAGGAAGCATTCTACAGAGAGTTTGGTTCATATTGACATGATAGCATCACACAGCTGCAGTTGCCCTAAAGATGGTTTTGTGGAAAAATCTAACAAGATCAACAGATTCTGAAATACCAAGAAATACCTGTCCATTTTATACCCACAACCCAACCGAAGTATGTTCATAGCCACTCACATTCTGATTCTCAGTTTCAAGTTCAGTTGCCACTATGTAATAGACTGCTTAGATATCTGAATCAGCTGAACACGTATACGTAAGAAAGTGTCTGAGCCCCCCGTCCCTTTTTTCACCTAAAACATCTTATAAAATGTGATATCCTAACATAAGTACTTAGACTTAAAAATGCTTTATTTTTGATTGTTTGATTTATATCTTTGTCATTTTCACATCATTATCCAGCATTCGTCCAATGTAACCACATTTATGGCTACTTACTTTTTTTGCCATGAATTTACAATTAAATTGTTTTAGACATATAAATTGACCAATACCGCCCCCTCCTGGATGTATTCCTCAATGAAAAGCAGCACACTTGTGACAAAGCCACATTTAATCCCTTTGATTATTGGAGGCTGGCTTCACTCGCTGACTGTGTGAAGTTTCAGACCCACTCCCCTGCGTGGAAAAATAAGAATATTACACCTTAATCTGGGTTCACCTAGGCAGAGGGTTCTTCTTTCACTGTTTTTACATGATGACGGTGAAAACTGATGTGTGAGCCACCAAATGCAGTGATTGTCGATTTTTCATACACCTCTTTGTACCATTTTAGGTAAAAACAGCAATTAAAGAAAAACATTTCGTTTCGTACAAAATATATTTTAGAATAAACAGATTTTTATCCACAGCAAAAATAAATGTTTAAAATACAATGTTTTATGGACGAGAGAGATAAGCATCAATTTCATTCTGTGCATGGTGATCCTGCACAAGATCACATTCACTGCTTTCCCTGTTCTATGAGTTTGGGATGGCTGCCATCTCTACCGTTTTACTGTGCCTTATAAGTCACCGAGCTCTGTGTGCTGACTCTCACACGTGCTCATTTCTACAGTGGATATAATAAATAAATAAAACAATAAATAACATTACTTGTAGTTATGAACTTTTTTGTCTGTTTAAAACAAATATTACAACAATATCCAATAGGCAATTAAATCAAGCAAATAATTGCTTTATTAATTATATCCAGTCTTATTAGTTTTAACTTTTGGTATAAATTATTTAGTTCTAAATGATTGCCTAATGCAACAATCTTATGTTTTAGGTTTTACTTTTTTATTACGTTAATTTGTTCCTGATTTTTTTCTTATCTTTTATTAATCTTCACAGCTGTTTTTTTTTTAAATAGCGCTGCAGCGCCCTCACCAGGTGGCTATATGTAACTGGCGGTAACACCCGTCCCCATAGAGACAGGCTCCTACAACAGGGTTGCTCGTGCACCGTTAGAATCGCCAGTCCTCCGTCAGAGACGATGACAGCCTCAGTATGAAAGAGCCAGCTATTTGACATTAATGATTCCATCGAAAGCAGACTTCTGTGGTGGTTGCCAATCGGAATTTTTATTATTACTGTTATTATTATAATTATTGGATTAACGACCATCAGCCACCAGGCGAAGCTTTATCCTGAGAGGCCGGAGATTTGTGTCGCTGGGCAGGGAGGAGTCTGTTATTTCAGCGTTAGCTGAAGCCAGGCCAGCATGTCGGCGTTTTAACAATACATCCATCTCAAATACAAAGCTTCGGAGAGGATCCTAATGTGCTCTTAGAGGTGAGTCTTTGCTACATGTTATATTATTGCTGTTAAATGTTGCAACGCTAGCTAACCTGCCACTGATACAGTGGACATAGCGGTGCTAGGTTAATATTGGGTCGTTCTGTTCAACTGGACTCACAAGAACCAGCTGTCATTTACTAAAAAAAATTTATTTTTGGTTTCATTTTTGAAGCTAATTCTAAAAGAACACAGAGCTATCATTTATGCCCCGAAGTGCCCTATAGTTACTTCAGTCTAAGACATTATTAGCTGATAATCAGATAAATAGCCAACAGCATACATATAGAAGGTGTTTTGGGCTCATATGAATGGTCGTGCTGACTGACAGCAGAGGCGACTACAGCACCTGCAGGTCAGACGAGGTGAGTCTTTGTGAATTTCATGTTAACGGAGCCGGTGCTGTCAGTGAGCAGGGCCCCGGTTGTTGTCCTGAAATCGATGATGTAATGGTGTTGGCTTCATGAGAAGAAGTAATACCCGTGTGTCTCTATGTTCAGGATGGATGTGGAGGTGAGTGCTGGCAGGGACAGCACTTGGAGGAGAGCAGCGGCAGCAACAGCAAATGATGATGGTGCTGGTGGTGGTGGTGGAGGAGGAGGAGGGGTCATGGAGGCTCAGGTTGTACCGCTGGAGCTGTACGACTGTGCAAGAGCCAAAATAGACGCAAATCTCCGCTGGTTGTTTGCCAAAGCCTATGGCACAGGTAAGACTTTCTCTTGTGCTGCTGAGACCTTCTTGGATGTCAAGAATGCAAGAGGATTCATATCTTTTTATATGGATGAATATTTTATTGTGCATTTTGTCCTAGTAGTAGAAAGAGAGAAAGGTATATACCCTACAAAAGGTCCATGTCTAGAATCACATCTGAGTTGTGTGTAGTTATACAGATGCTACTATGACACAAATGACAATTTTAATAAAATGAAATTTGTGACCTTTTCAGTTTAAACATTATTGATTTCTAACTGTGTTATTAAACAGTCAGAATAACTGAAAACATCAGGATATGTTGACGTTAGGTTTCAAGTTTCCAGTTACTAGTCCTTTGTTTATGCAGATTGAGACTTCAGTCTACTTGGAAATCCACTATCCTATTTTGTGAGTGTTGATTTTCGACCACAACAATTGCAAATGTATTTTATGAGAATTAACTTTTCATACCACGACAACATAGCAGCACTCCAGAGCGTCATTCCTGCGAGTGAATCCTTGGGCTGACATCTCGTGATGAGTCTTTCATGCACAGGTCACTGGCTTTGTCAGCTCTGATGAGGTCTGTTAAAATATTAAAAATGATTGCTCTACATAGGCAGGCTGTAAGTACTGCAAATGTCTGGAAATCACTCTTTGAATGTGGGTTTTTATGCCACGCACTAGCAGATCTATCAGGAATGTGATCAGGAGGTCAGCTGTGCTCTGCAAGTCTCAGTTTTTGTTTTATCAGTAACAATAATGTATTTGGAAGTTGATCCGGAGTCAGTCATTTAGGAACGGAAAACTCATTGTTCTCATATCCACTTTATGAGTCAAGCAGTTGGAGT